GCAATCCGTTATGCTATTCATTCTAAGTGCCGGGACTATTTGCCAAGCTGGTCAAAATACGTTACTACCGTTATAACCGTGAATCGTGTCGTTCAAATACGGTTGTAATGCTGCAGTTTGCAATGTGGTCAAGGCGGTTTTTTTACGTCGTCGCAAACGTCGCGTTGTGATGGTAAAATAGTGAAATGAGCAGACAAGAGTATAGACTTACATTCTTTATTACTTGGTTAATTTATTTGACTTGGCGTAATCGAAAACAAATTCTCTCCCTCCATAATTTCGCAAGTGTAAAATATCAGGTTCCGTACAACGTATTATAAACGCTTGACCGTCTGAGCAACCCAAATAACAGGCCGTTTTTCAACGACTTAACCAGTTAGCTAGCTGGAGTGGGAAATTCTAGCATACCCATATTGACGGCGGTTTTTCACCGACTTGACCGGAAAAGGGTTAACGAGGGTGTATGATCGATATAATGTGCTCATTTACGAAGATATGACACGCACCATGCGTATCATCGACTGTGTCTTGACATTTCATACTGTACGTGTCAGTACATTACACTTTGCAATTTAATATAAACAAATTTATATGATTGAATGAAATAAATTAAAAGGCAATCGCATCATGATCTTCTATTTATATTCAACGTGTCTCCCCCACTATTAGTTTGAAGTCTTCTGTTGGTTTTGGTTTCACCCAACTATTTCATAGCAAACCAGTCAGCATTCTAATTTTGCTTCAGACTTTCCAATGACCAGCTTTCTTAATTCCCCTTTTTGCGATATTTTAATTAATTAAATCGCACCAAATTCTAAGTTTTAATACTGTATTTATCCGGCTAAGAGCCCATGCCCGGACAAACGCCCACCCACACTTTTGATAAAATAAAGGAGTTGTGGTCATATCCTAGCAAACGCCCAGGGGTGTTTTATCTACACCTGTAATAAAATAAAAAAACAAAAACCTATTTTTGTTCGTTGTATTAACAGTTTACGCCCTTGCAGTCTGTTGTGATTCTGATAAAAAAAAATTGAAAAATAAATGTCAATTGCGTAAAACGAGGAGTGAACGCGAAATAGCTGTGACATAAATAGAGCAGCGCGTTCACCACTGTTTACGTAGTTTATATTTATTTTTTCAAGATTTTTTATCAGAAACATAACAGCCAGCGAGTGAAAAAAATGTATATGAAAGGAGAAACGGTATTTCTTTTTTTTGAAATATGTCGTGGCCCTAAAAACGACTGGCTGTTTGGTTTGTGTCTCCTTAGAAACGATTTAAACAAATCGTAAAAGGAGATCGAGCCGCTAAGCTAAGCATTGCACTCGTTCGGCTTTAGCGTCGACGACAATGAAACCAATGTTGCAATATTGTAGCAATCCGTACCTGGTTCAAAGCACGTTGTTTTGGCACTATAAATGTCATGGAAATTATTCTTCTGTCCTTGGGGAAAAAAAAAAAAAAATCTTCCTATTTCAAGCCCACTGCGATATCCATATATTAAACTTGCTGAATGGTAACTTTCGCAATGATTGATGAACGCCTAGTCTGATAAGAAAGCGATGTTGAATTGACCTCTATGATGAAACATGTCATTCTTAGCCAATCGGTAAAGCGGATGCTTAAAGGTCAAAGATG